TGGCTTTGCTTATCTTATTACCAACCAGTTAAAATAAAAAAAAAAAAAAAGAAAACATAATCAGCATAGAGAAAATATGTTATTAATTTTTTAATTATGTTTTCGTTTTGGAATACTCGATTGTACTTCCTATGGACGTTTCATTACTGATGAATGTTTTGTATTGTGTATTTATCAATTAAATTTCTAAACAACCATTAAATAATCGGCAAAATAAGTATTTTGAGTGTTCATTCGTTTATTTATATTTTGTACGAATTCCATCTCCAGCCCCCCCCCAAAAAAAGGAAAATCGCAAATCGCCTTTACATGATAAATAGAACGTAATCATTATGTGTAATTTTTCCACTGAAGCAGATTATTTAAAAATCGCTCAGATAGTAATTAAGCGGAAATGATTATTAAAAACTATTGCAAAAGAGGTAAATTCACAAAATTTGAAAATAAAGAGTTATTAATTAAATGTAAAAAAATATAAATATGTTTATAAATGTCTCTAACACTTGCCAACTTTGAAACAGTTATCACTTATATTACCGGTGTTTTTATATAAGATTTAATGGTTAATGAAAGTAAATCCAAAATCCTTAAAAATCCAAAAGTAAAATACTTGAGACTGCATACCTAAAGATATATTTTTGGAGATTTTCCTTTCCAGTAATGAGCAGTAAAATGATTTTACACATCTTTTCACAAACTCAGTCTGTATAAAAATGCCCTAGTTTGATACTTTAGAGTTTCAGAAAGTTTTTTGTTATTTTTGGTTTGTGAAATTCACGAAATTATTTTCATTTCGTTTTTAGAATATCATAATTTCATTTTTATTAATTCATCGATTTTTTACACATTCTTACATCTATGACCTGATTAACGCAATTAAATTAATTTCTTATTTGAAAGTGTTTAGACAAATTAATTCTTCCTGATATGTTAAATTAATTAAACGTCAGTTAGCTACATCTTTTTTAACTATACTTTTACACTGTTCTGATAAAACAGCAAGTATTTGTTACTTTCTGTTTCCTATCTTACGTTATTTTCTCTTAGTGTGGGATTAGAAGGTTGTTTGCTATAAGTTTTTTTAGTTTAAAGGGGGGCATTGCTATTTTCGCTTTTTTTTGAATTCATGTTTTTAAAGCGTTTTCTAAGTGACAGCTTAAGCCCTTGAATTTAGAAAAAGCAGACAGATTTGAGATTTTCTGAACGTCAAGGAGTAAGCCGTTTACTAAGTCCGGGATTTTTCAGATGTTGGTAGCATATGAAATAAATGCAGATATGAAATTTAGCCTCCAGATTTTGAAACTGAGGGATATAGCCTTTATATGTATATATATATAGGGTATAACTTTTATACTGCACTTCTTATGTAAATGCAAAACCGTCTTAGCATTAACTTATATTTATAAATATCGGCATTTTTAACTGTATTGTAGTGATTATGAATATTTTTAAGGAAAACATTATTTTGGGTAAATATATAACGTCAACAAAATATCCTATAGTCCTTTCTTAAATAGCATTAAATAAGTATAAAATAAAAAAGTATGACATGAACCATTTTATTTCCGTAACATATATGTGAATGAAATTTAGTAATGTCTAACATTACTAAATTTCATTCACATATATGTTATACGCTATGAAATACGTCAGAAAAATAATATAATTTTTATAACGTCCCCCGTACATGTTGACACTGGTTTTATGTATCACGTTTCTGAAGTCTAAAGTCTCCCCTTTCACTACATTATTAAATTTTATATACATGATACTGGAGCAATCAAAGCTAAACTCGAGGTACATTAGGATTATTAGAGAGGAGTATTCAATTTCATTCTTGTTAACTGAAAGGTTTATTACTGTGTGGTTTATGTAACAGACGATTGGCTCCTTCTTCTTATACCATCGAAATTAAGAAGCAAACTAATTTAATAATTCCATTTGTATTTATTGCAAATTTAGCCTAATTTCGTCATATAAATTAGCAACTTTGCAGACGCGAATATGTGTGAACATTAAACGTAACTTTCTTAACAGCTACAAAGAACTAATACTAAAACAGAAGAATAACTTTATTTTCTTAAACCTGTATATAAACTATTTTGCTTTCTAGAAAGAAATATTGTTTATATAATGCAATATGTTTGTTTTCATTGTAGGAAGGAAGACTGAAATTTTATAATGCGAATTTTTCGCACATTCAGTATAAAGTATTAGAGTTAAAAGAGCTATACTTATATTTGGAAGCTTTCAAGGATTCTTTCAGCATTTGAATTATCTAAAATGAATACTAAAGTTTACGTGATTTTTATAGGCTGCAGAATGTGACATTCTTAAAAACTATTACATGATGATTTCAAGACTAATGAAGATTACATTTAACACATGCTCCTTTTTTCATGTAAAATGAACTAGCTGGATGATCTTGCTGAGTTGTAAGTTTTCTTGAATGTGTGAAAATTCTTTTTGCATCAGAGTACATAAAATAACTAACAAATGTTTTGATGAAAATTACTATACGTGCTTCAGGCGCAAAAATGTGTAAGAGATGTCTTTTTTCCAAAGAAAAAAATAATAATAGATGAAGATACTGGAATGAAAACTATCGCTACAAAACATTCATGGATAATCAAGTACTTAAACAAAACAACAGATGCAAAGTGTGGCATCTTACTGTTACTTGCAAACCCCAAAACAGGGAATATAAAGAGACCCTCAGTATTTGAAGCTGTATATTTATGAATTACAAGATCATAATAAGACAGGCCCTGGCAGATAACTTATCCGTCATACAGCAACGATTGTGACATGAGTAGTGAGATACAGACCATGGGTCAGTTCGCTCTCTAAGAAATAGTGTTATGAAATAATGTGTAATACTATTTTTCAAATAGCTTGTATTCCACCTATTGGAGCATAAATATTAATGAAGTGGATGACGCAGAAGTACATAACAGTGGATACCTACACAGACAAGCGGTTTTAACCTACTGCTTTGCACGGAATTTGCTTTTCTTCTCCATCACCGAAGCATGACCCATTTCGAATATAAACATGACTGTTCATAATATATATTTTTCTTGCTGTGAATGCAGTCCCATAGTTACTTAGTCGCAGTATATACATCAGTTCTGCCGGCCTGATGTCATATGCAACCGGAATTATATATCACTGCACTAAAATGAATTAACAGTTTTGATCATGTTTATGTCATGAGTAAAACTTTCAATGTAGGGTTCTGTTCTTTATAAGAAATTGAAAAATTAAATTATATCTAAAGATTTAAATAATAAACATTACAATACTAATTAGTTGCTAATTCTTGTAATGTACTTAGAAAGTGGTCAGTTAAATTTATAGGTATGGAATCATTCATTAGGAATGTAAATACAAATATATTTTTCATTTATCCTTGACAAATTTGATAAACAGAAATGTCCAAATTTTTTTTTGTGATTTGGACCGCATCAATTCTAGAATAGGTGCAGCTTTCCGATCAGCATTAGCATTTGTTATGCTTTCAGTCTCAAGTATTTTTCTGTTAAAAAGAGGCGATGTAACTGAGGCAAGAATTAAAATCATACTTATTAAATAAAGAAAAAATTACAAAATGAATGTTTATACATAATTTCCCGCATTTCACTTTGACTGATTATAGTTTTGCATATATTTTAAGAAATAAACCATTCACTGTACTAGTTTTAACTAGTGAAAAACATTTCGCATATTCTGTTCATGGCAATTCTACGGAAGACACTTTTTTAATGAATAATACATTGCTGCAAGCATATTACGTTTCATGTTTTGTTTTACATTTACCGCAAGGAATTTCCACAAAATACGACACTTATAACTACACGCAAGTATATGTAAATATATTGAAAATAAAGTGAAAAATCAGTATTTGAAAAATTTAAAGCAAATGGGTGAAAATTCATAAAGAAATGTTTTTGTTTCGTAATGTAAGAAATGTACATATGTAAATAATTCTCGTGAAATTATATGTGAAACTGTCGTATTTTTTTAGTATGATGTAACATCAGTATGTTAAAAAGCAAAACTTTATAGGAGAAGTAACAAGAGTAGGGCAAGTCTATTGAACTTTGAGTATATGGCTATCTCTTTAATTTGGCGAGATACCGCAAGAAGGCGATGGTTGTGGCGACTAATATTAATCACCGAATTTGACGAGAAATCTCCAAACGTCGCCAAATGTGGCGACCATTTAGAGATGTTTGGGTTCGGTTTCTGTATAACTGTAATAAAGGGTACTGTAATTGATGCTATACGAGACCGGAAGAAAACTATATAGGACCGGGGAGAGCATCCATTTCTCAATGGTTATATCCATGAGAGCTTCACCTTTTAGATGCGCTTTGCATTTCATTGTGTTTAACATTTTACTAGTTTAAACTGTAACTACTGATTATACACTGTGATGCTGAGAAGAGCTGTAGGAGTTATTTTGTGAAAAGTTCCAAAACTGTGAAGTGTTTCTTTGGGTAAAATTAAACTTTATCAAACGATTTTGTGTGCATTCAATCTATTACGAACACGTACGCACGCAAACAACATTTTAGCATAATATTGGCTCTATGTCTACCCGAATAAGAATGTTTAGAGCAGTATATTACGGAGCAGAATTATTTCTAAAATACAGTATTCATATAGATTAATAAATAATTCATAAGGAATAAATTTTAAACCTTCTAAGGTAAAACCTAATGTATTTTAAACCTTCTGCTTTAAGCGAATGTTGTACTATGAGCTCTGTAATATGAAATAAGAGAGTTTGTTACTTTTAAATAGAGGCTTTGGGGGAAGAGAATTTAAATACTGAAAGGAAAATGATAGAATATTTAAATATAAATAATTAATTGAAATTTATATAAGGGATATATTTCTGCCCTTAAACAAGAATGCTTTCCTAAGCTCTACAGATCTTTCTTATTGCACATAATGAAGCCTGCGCTTTCCAAAGCGAACGAATCTTAACTTACTTTTCCTTGGGTTGAAAGGATCCTCTGTCGTACCATAGAATAGAAAAAAAATACACGTTTGCCTTCTGGGAGCATACATAAATAAAATATTCCAAAATATATACATGCATATAAAGGATACATTTCAACAAAAGTCGAAGCTCACTTTATAATGAGGGCATACTACCAGGATTATAGCATTGCTGTTTCACAATGTCTTCACATAACAGTTAGAAAACTGAGTGCTTTTACACACAATTAACAAAAATTATTACAACTTAAGAAAGAAAACTAAAGCATTACTCCTTTAAAGCATGTCTTTTTTGCAGATTTTTATCATCGTTTTATATATATGTAGATACATAGCTAGAAAGCCACAAATATTGTGAACATTTAAGAGCGTACTTTAATACACTCTTTCCTTTAAATTAAATATTTTTCATGAATGTTCAATGAGCTAATTGAGAAAAATATTTGACAATGTTTCATACCTTTTATGTAAGGAGAAAATTAAAGATATTTTTATTGGACCATTAAGGTATAGTTAAAAATTTGTAGACATTTAAATTTTACTTTATGTTTAAACTATACCGTTATTTTCGCAGCTGCGTATTTCCGAAATTTAAATATAAGTGTATAAACAATTTATTCTGCTATTTACGTTTCTTTGGCTTTTAACTATTTGATAACCAGAACAAGCATTGTGTTCCTGCTAACATTTAATGTGTGTTAAGATCCCATTTGACGTGTTCCAATACCGGCATTTTCTTTTCGATATTTAAAAATATTTTTATCCACATAACTATAAAGAATTAATTTTAACTAGCAAAACAGGACTGAGTTTACTAACAAATGAATACGGTTTAAAGGAAAATGGCTGTTAACAAGAAAAATACTTCTTTTTTGTATTACTAAAATACTAATACAAAAAAGAAAAATTTAAATACATTTAAAATTTAAATACTTCTTTTCTTTAGAGGAAAAATCTTATTTAAAGCTAACATTATATTTAAAAATGCAAATAATTGTTTTCGTGCAGTCCTTCGAATTCTTCTGCAGCTTTGGCGAAAAGCGTTAGGCATCTTATTTAGACCTTACTGAGTTTTGGCATAGCTTTTCCTTTGAAGGAGTTCAGAGGTATTTTATTGAGTTACGATTTGGTTTCTGTGGTGGCCAATCTAAAGCATCAGTAGTGTTACGGAATCATCACCGATTGTTTTTGCTGAAATTCATAGTTTCATATGTTTTACCACTAAATTGCATTCAAATGAATGGTTCTAGATTCGTGTTAAAATATTGACGCATTTTTGGCTATTCATGTAACTGTCACTGTTGTATTACATATTTAGTATACAACAGCAGCCACTATACATTCTTAGATCACAATATTTCTTCCTCCATGTTTTATTATGAGAACTACATATTTTGAGTTGTATTTTATACATTTTCCATTCTTCAAATACGATGCAATAGATGTAACCTAAACGTCAAAGTAAATTATACATTTTTAAGAAGCTAGAAACAAAAGATATGTTGGATGTACATGAAAAATTATTTTTGAGGAAACGAAGGCTTACCTGAAAACTTATTCATAAGGAAAGGGAATATTTGACCATTTCTTCTCTAAATTTCTTCTTCGAATAATATATAATCTTAATGCGTTGATTTTCTGAGAGTAACGACCTCTTTCCAGTTTGCAGCTTGCCAGGTCAGCTGCTCATTCTAATGTGTACCTAATTAGTTATAAAATTGGTATCCAGTTTCTTCTGATAGCTTTTCAGCAAGCTTAAAAGAAGTTTTCTGTTACTATTTCTTGTTTATTTTTGAACAAGACAAAAAAAAAAAAAAAAAAAAAAAAAACTGAATTTTCTTACTGGTTTTTGAAGATCGTTACATTTCGATGCTAAGTTTTTACCCCTGTTCATTCTATATTAAAATCTAAACTTTATTTTAAAAAATAATATAAAGTATGTCAATTTAAAGTATGTACAGCATAACATTTATGAACATTTAAATTTTTTTTCTATCTCAACATGAGATTTTCTTTGCTTACTTAAAAACAAGACCTGATACAGGTGGGAACTGATTGTAAATGATGCATGTTAATGGAATTCTTAAAAATTATTTTAGCATCAAATTCTCAATAAACAAGAGAGCTACATTGATTTCATAGACCAAACAGAAAGAAATTTTGATTTTTCCCGTGTAATGTGTAATTGAAATTATGACAGATATTATATGATAGAAAATATTGTGAAAACATTTGTTAACGATTATAGTATGATTTTTTTAAAATTTTACTATAAAAATTTATTAATGCTATTATGTGTTTCTGACATTATTTTTTATTTCTAAGAAGACGAAATATTGTATTTCTAATTTTTAAGCAGATTTGAAAGGCTGAATTTTAATTAAATAGTGGATGATTATAAGTCTGTGATGATAAGTCTGTCTTTCTGTCGTAAATGAAAATTATAATGTTAAAATAATCCCTTTTATTTTACATATTAGGTATGTCTCCAGTTAAAGAACGAGTATCCGTTGGTATGAGATCACAGGATCCTTTTTTTTAATTCTTGAAATTTTCAATTAACTGAAAATTTATTTATTGTTGGTGACAATTATTACTGTATCACATTTTAGAACCGACAGACAAATAATTCTGTTAAAAATATCTTAAACGTGCTAATTTCCAATACAGAAGAAATTTAAATCTGTGAAAGGAACTACCGGTCTCCAGTCTCTTTATCTTTAAAAAGGGAAAAAAATTATTAAAATTCTTAAAACTCTGGAAAATGTGCAGAAAGCAAAATCTCTTTTCTCAGTCTGGTAAAAGTCCAAAATCAAAACTGATGTTTCAAATATCCAAATCTATCAGGGAAGAGAAGGTATATTTTAATTTAAACATTGAATTTAAAAGCTTATTATATGAAAATGGCCCTATATTGTCAAAATTACATTTGCCACGTTTCAAAACAGGCTTCTTGGAAACATCGTTTATGCACAAATACAGAATGGTGCGATTTGCTATAACTACTTATTTAAAGATTTTTACCAATATTTTCCAGTTTCATTCTTTAAATAATAAAAATGAAGTGTTAAATTTAGTTTTAAAATATGTAATAATTTTAATAAATAAAAGTTGTCGAAATGAATCCAAAATCTAGAGTTTGAGTTTCAACCTCTTTTGAAATACACTACCTATATTCACAAAGAATACATTAACCATTAGGATTACCTAATTTGGGCAAGGCATGCATATGAAAGTTGTCTGACTAATTTACATCTCAATTTCGACAGAGAATACCACTACCACAGGGAATGGAACTGAGAATCTCATACTATGTTATCTAACGTCAACCACCAAAAGAACTTTACCGACATATAATAAGTGCCTCAACTTCACAATGACTCTGAGTTATAATTATTCTTGTCTAATATGGAATTCTAATCCGAGTCCAACAGTTAGACTTCACATAGAAAATGCGAGAACCTTTAGTAATTCATTGACCAGGGCACATGTATATACTTCAGAAGATCACAGTCTTGATACATACATAAGAATTAAAATTTTACGTAGAAAACTAAATCCATGAAGACATCAGTTACGAATTTAAATGACAGATTTCTAAGGAAATTCTGCGAAACAGTATTAACAAAAATTAAAAGTGATATATTTCTAGATTACTATAAATTAAAAAGGAGGTTATAAATATACTTTTGCTTTAGATGAGAGTTTTTTTGACACCTCGAATTTCTAATTGATACGGAAACAGGACTTAGAAGAGTGTGTCTATTTTATCAAAATATACAGCAATTTCATTGTTTTATCTTAATAACTTATTTGGTTTATGAATTTAAGTTAGAAAGTACAACTAGTAAAAGTTAAAAAATAATTTATTTCATTTCCTTTTATGAATTTAAAATTCTGAGATAATTTTTAAATTGATAAAATTGAAATTTAGTGATCCTCAATTAAATTTCAACAATTCTAGATAGGAAAGCTAATTATATATAAATGTCATTTTATTCATTTATCGCTACAATTCTCAGAAGTAGTCAAATATCAAATAATTATTCACATTTAATTAAAATTCTGTGTAAGCGTTTCAATGGTATGAATTTCAGTTTGCTTTATTAAAATTTATGGCATTTTGCAATTTTCCTAACATCATGGAAATTTGAAAAAATATTATATCAGGATATCGGAATTCTGAATATATATTTACCAAACAATTACCCAAAAGTACCCAAAAGGAATAGCTACAGTAATTGAACTATAACAATTATGTTAGCGGTGATATTATTTCCTTCAAAAATAGCATCTATAACAGAAGCTGAAACAAGAACGTGTAATGCATGCAATACTTAAAGGAAATATGGACTTTTAAATAAATTTTACCTCTAGGTGGTAGCATCTTCATATCATATCCGTACGGACTCAACCATTCGAAACAAAATATAGCTAAAGCGGCACCTTGGATGCTGATCAAAAGTATCATCAACCACGATATCGTATCAAAAGGTTCTGAAAGAAAATAAAAAAGCGGGTAAGTAGACAAAAGCGAGAACTTGCTACTGCAAGAAAAGCCTTCAAAATACTGAAGTATTTTATAAAATGTATATGCAAACAAGTCCTCCTGAAAAATTAAAGTAACTGAATGTTGAAACATATTGGATTTTGCCACTTCATTTTAAAAGCTTATTCTCAAAACTTAAAATTATTTCTGAACCTGCTTTTCTGAAAGAGAAGAAATGTTGGAAATGATGTTGGAAATGAAATACGGTAGACAATCCTTTCAAATATATTAAAACCTGAAGATCAATTGCATCTTTGCATCCTCACAGTGTTAAACATTTATAATTTTCTTTTTTTAAACCGATCAAGGAAGTAAACAAATAAATACCTAATAAGCTTATAAATTGAATAAATTTATTGATTTTATCAAACTAAGATTGCATTTATAATCATGCATTTTGTTTGAAGAAATCAGTATTTTGCCTAGCAACATGGATAGTAATAATTGCTGCGATGTGCATCAAAAGTAAAAGAACGAGATTTTAAATCTTTGTCTGTGGTATGTCATTCCATGCAGTTTCCACAAGCTGCCAAAGTTCATCGGGTGCAGCAGCGGTTGGTGTATGTTGGACCATTCCTTTACAAATCATTGACCGATGTGCGTTATGGGAAACAAATTAGCAAAACGGACAGTCCAAGACAGCAATGAGACCTGGTGGAGAGCAAAAAATTCTTTAATGTTAAAACCCTCATCCTGCTGTAAGTAGAACATTGCTGTAAGTAGAACAGATATTAGTCTGAAAGGTTTTTTTGTATCTGGTATTTTCAGTTTTCCATATATGATGTTACAGTTACAGTCGTATACTTCTGTAAATGTCAAGTCAATGATAAACACAGCCATGGACACCTTGCAAAAATGTTCCTGCTCTGCATACAACGTTGAAGGGTTCATGCTGACACGGGTTGTTAAGAAAACATATCTTAATTCGTTCGGTACCGTGCTTGACGTTACCTGTGCTGCAATCTGTCGCAGGGACATGCATAGTATGCCTGTTTTGATAATATAACAGACATGCTGCGGGCATTCAATGTTTCAATGTTGCCTGTGTTTCCACTTTCGAGTTTCACATCCTACTAAGATATAAGACATTATCACTTGAGGGAAATAATGCATGTTGCAAGCCTTGTGCGCATGACATATAGCGAAATAACTGCACAGATACATCTTGATTAATCAAGTCCTTTGTATATTGAACAGAAGCACAAGATTACCCTTGGCGTTAGTTTAAAAATACAAATCATAGCAATTTTTTTCACCCATATCATTCTGCCATCTTCAACAAATCATTTCAAATATAAATCTTTGTATCTTTAGATCATAAATTGCTACTCAATAAATTTTTAAATAATAAAACTGTCTTAATTGCTCAGCTTAAAATTGTTCAGAATGAATCTACGTATTAAGATCAGACTGTAATTTCATTTTGATCTTATAATACTTATAAATTTGAATTATGAAAATACTTTTTTTTTTAATTTTGAGGCTGTAATAGTCTTTCGAAAACTGACTTTGAGACAATAATAATCTTAAATATCCGAAGTCTTACATTCTAATATTTTCAAATTGCATATTTTTTATATGGAGTTTAACACAACTGGAATTAATGTTGTAAGGATTTCGGTGGACATCGACTTTTTTTTTTTTTTCTAAACAGAGATTCGCATTAACCGAATTATTCCCATGTTCGGATGTGCGAAATTACCTCAATTTCTGTTGATCCCTGCTTCTCAGTGTATAGTAAAATTTCAGGTTTGCAACTAGATTAGAGAATGCATTAGTAAGTTTTTTTGCATGTAACTAACAGGAAAAATACAATTCTTTCCTCAAATTTTTTGGCACTTACTTTCATTCAAATAATTACAAAAACTAAAAATTTTATATATTGTGATAATGGAATACGATAGTTAATGAATTTTTCTATTAACTATATCGATTCTTAAATAAAGCCTAGCAACAAAAACAGCGTTCAAAGGAAATCGTATTTTGAAAATTTGCTGAAACATCTCCGTTGTATCATGAATAGCCACATTCGTGACCTGCTTTTGAATGCAGTAGATACATATATCCATTTCCTTTTCTTTTTTTACCAATACTCTTAAATCCCTCGCGGTTCTTGTTTCCCTCTAACGTGTGTATTGAATTCACGTTCAGGAATATTTTCCTATATTTATAATCTGAATATGTTCAAAACATAGCTAAACCAATCAAAGAGCTTTATTTTGTCAGAACCGACCTCATAAATATAAACCGTTGAAAGGGAGATTTAAAAATATAATCTTTAATGAATTTGCATCCATTAAGTATAAAAATTTCGAAATGAATTTAAAATGCTTCATTTGTATATCGTTATATATATAAAATTTCGTATGTACGTACCATATGCATATAATGCGTTAATTTTTTTAAACTTACTTACTTACTTAATTCTTATTTCCATTTATGGTATTGACAGCAGACAATTAAAAATATTGATTAAGTAGCGTATAAGTAATTAAACTCGAAGTCATTTGCTTAACAATTGCTAATGGATAAAGTCCATTAGCAAATTTGATTATTTTTCTGAGTACCTGAGCATTAACGTACAAAGAGGAGGACAAATTGAAATGGAATATGGATTTGACATCTAATACAGTCACGGAGATCGAAATTTCGGTAAATCAGCTTAATCAACAGCTTTAATGGAATAAGTAGTTGAGGACAGACAGATGGCACATGGAAAGGAGCGAGAGAACATGATACAAATCTAAGAGTAAATTTAAAAGTAGTGCCTTCATAAAAAGAACCCTATGGTTTACCAACATTTTTCTTCTAAATTTAGTTGTAATTAAATATTTTTAATTTATGAGTTTAATAGAATCTGTTTTCTAGCTGGGAAAAAAACTATATTTGTTCAACTTCATTTTAAATGAAACAGATTCTAACTTGTAAATTTTAAATTATGCGAATATAATTGGGTTACTTTCGAACATCCGTGTACTCGAAGGAAAATTTTAATAATTTAGTAATATGAACGCTAAGGCCTCGTCAGTGTATTTACTGAGTAAATAAAACAAAGCATCCAGAGTTTAAGTCTATTTGGCATAACTGAGATGATCTTCGAGAAATATGAAAGTTTGCAGGTACTACTAACACACTACAGTGTAATTTCTTTACATGAATTATCTTTTACTATATCATTCATTTTCGATACATGAATCGATTTTCGTTACATGAACTATTACTATTCAGGCATAAAAGTCTTCCTCTTTACTCAACTTTTATACATTTGTCACTATTTTCACTTCTTGATATATGATAAATAGATGAGTTTTGAGGGTAGAATAATAATGATAATCAATCAAAATTTATACACCCTTTCTGCAAACTGATGACACTAGAGGAAACAGAATTCCCAACTGAAGATACTATATTAAGCAGGGAGTGAAAACTAGTCGTGAATGACCTCGGAGAGAATATAGAACAAATTCCTTATAGCCACAATCCTTACGGTCCTTGGGGTGTACAATCCCGGAATGCAGAAGACGAACGATTTACTCAAAACCCCATCGCTAAACCGGCCCAGCGAGAGCTCGTCAAACCTCAGGTGTCGGAGACCACGACGGAGTGAAACAACAAAGACTATAACCGCGTATTCATGGCCGTCATGCTACCTACTCGGATCGCTGAAGCCACTATCATCCGGGAAAATGTAGGCTACAAACGTATTGTAACAGAATTTATTAAATGACATTTTTATATTACGTATTTTTAATTTTTTAATGACTTGAACAGCAAAATTACCATTTATGTTATTTTAATATGAATTTAAACTTTTGTTAATAGAGTGGTTTGCTCACATATGCGTAAATAATTTTTCTTTTTGAGTTGTTAAATTACTAAAAAGAGAAAAAAGTACTCGGTATGAGAAGAAATAATTTTAAGAAAAGCAAAAGTATGAAAATCTATTATTTGCTGATTACTAAAATATTGTTTTTTAATTTCTTTAATATTACTAATTTCACTAATAATGTTTTCTCTAATATCTCAAGTACCATTAGTTAGCTCACCTGCGTAATTTTTCTGAGTAGCAATATTTGGGCAGCTCACAATTTAAAGTCATATTACTTTTTTCAATAGCGTATGATAATACTGAACAATATTCAGACTTTTAATGAAAAGGAAGGCTTTTCTAAAATATCCCAAATCTCTGCCTTAAATATTGCATATAAAAATTTAATTAAAAGTTTTACGGCCATCATTCATTATACACTCTAAAATGTTACTCAATTACTATTTTATACTTTTCTTCAAATATTCAACCTCTAACCAAAGTAAAGAAAGCGATTTATCTAATTTGAGGGCACGCTATTATCTTATTATTCGGAAATGTTTGTTTGATGATAATTATGAAGAAAATAATTCCATATGAAAAGCAACAAACCTTGACAAAATTTAAGTGTTTGCAAAGGAATTGTCTGCAACTGCCAACTCCTGTGCCTCCAGAACTGAAAAATAAACTACAGCAATTTATTCAGTTTTACTAAACTCAATATTTGATTAAAATTTGAAATTATTTTGTAATTTCTCAAAGTTCATTTCCTCACATAAATTTGCAGTTTGTCAGAAATATGGGTTACTTGCCATAGAAAGAGCTTCTAGTAAACATCAAACAATTATGACATCAATAATGGTGACTTTGTTAAACATTCATTATGAATTAACTGTTCTATTAAAATTAGATTAAGCCTAATTTAAAGCATATAGTATTTGTTACGCATGTCAACAGGAGAAAGAAATTATCAAAGAACTTACCAAGGAAAGCTTTTGGCGATATTATGCCTGTTCGCTTTGCCACAACAATGGCGATCCCAGTCTCCAAAAATGGAACTGTGAAATCTGCTGCTGTTTGACGCTCGGAATTTATCTTGATTGAGGTTACCACAATATCAGCTTTATGATGTAAGAGTTCAGCTATAAGTCCATTCCACGTGCCGTTTTGCTGTAAATAATTGGTAAAAATACACAGTATTACTTTTCTCTCTTTCTTAACCCAAGACACTGAAAAACTATTACATATCAATATACAAATAGCTAAATCGCTCATCGCTCTCGTAGCAACCATAAAGGGTACTGGAGATGTTTTCTTGGTCTTTACTTATTCTGTTTGAAAGTGCAATCTAAAAATTTTCAAATTAAAATATATCAACTCATTTACCTCCATTTTTCCAAGTACAAAATAATTGAACATAGTGGATTACTCAGAATAAATCTTGTTATCAACAGTTTCGGAACCGATTTAATCTATAAACGTAAAACTAACAAGTGTAAAGTTCTTAGGTAAAATAACATAAGCAATATATGAAATGTTAATTTCTTTACTACGGAGCATTTCAATATCTCAGTTTTGCGCAATAAACAACGTTATTCTGTAGTCAAGCTTTTCTGTGGATTTTATAAATTTCTTGCAGTTTTCATTTTATCCAGAAGTAATTTTTTTTCATTATTACTTTAGATTTTAACGGAATGAAGGAAATATGAAAAAAGTATAGGGAGTGAAAATATTATTTAAAATTAGTATTTATCCATTCTATGTTCCAAGAATTTAAAATATGGACATTTAATTGATTTTAGATTTTATCTCGCGACTGATAACTGAGTATATCTAGTAATATTCAACAAAAACAGTATTAGAAAAGTAAATACCATTTTTGAAATTGTTAATATTAATATTTCAGAATCCATAGAAAGTAGAATGTCACAATAAACCATTGAACGCTTTCTATTATTATCTTTAATATTTCCTAATGCATCTCTTCCTCATATGAGCGATAACGTTTAAGAAACATTTATCCACTTTTATTCAAAACTTCTGTCATATTTTTAGGGAAGAATTAGATTAACACAGAAATATAATACAGTTTGTCTGAAAATCTACAAGCCATCGTTTCAAAAGCAGCAAAAAAATTTTTCATGTAAATTTCGTAAATTTTTCGTTCCTGTTCTCAAGACATTTTTCATAGTATTTTATATGCGCTTCAAGTTCTGTTTGCTGTTTCATTTAAACTCCTCCTTTAATTAAGATCTCAGAAATTTACCCTCTTTGGGGGTCCCTTAAACACTTCTTCCTATGCTAAGATATTGGTATATTAAATAACAGAATCTATTTTATATATAAGTACTGTTTTTAGTTCTTAAGCTGTACTGCATAGCAAATTTATATCTTTGTGTGGAATTCATATAAAATTATAAAATAGTATAGCATTAAATGGCCCCTCTTTATTAAATATACTTATTTCAATCAACTATTCATCTCAGTAAGAGTGAGGACACATTTATATTGAAGCATCTTCACGAAAGTTTTTATCTCTTCTAATGGTGGCAAACTTACTTGAAGGTGCCTACACATTTATAAGGAGGCATCGTTAGGAAGGCTAGCGTTCAATCTCTTTTTTATCTAGTTATTTGTAGAAGGTCTTCGTTCGAGAAATGTCAAAAATGAACCATACTCTCGCAGGATTAAAAAAAAAGTATCTTCAAGGCTGACAGCTGTACATGCTAACTGCTTATACCATAAGTGCATGCGCGACAAAATGCAATAATTCTCTTTATTCTTCCAAGCTTAAAAGGCAACTACGGAAAGGACGAGATTCAATCGACAAAATTCAGGGGATGATGTTGATTCATCCATTATGCTTACGTTTTAGGGGCATTGCAGAGATTCCGTAATCCCTTCTGAACAAAGAAATGTAGGAAATTAATTATACTCGCCACTGCGTTCGAGCCAGGGTTCTTTCAGTTTTATGATGGATGGCTAACCACTTGAATCATCAGAACTTGCGCAAAGGAGTGTCATAGATACAAGGTAACCAAAAGGTTCTTGTCGTTAGTAATTGTCAGAAACAGAAAGACATACAGCACTTCTTTAAGCAACAGCCATTGGCGTACAGCTTTCTTTACTGCCATTTCTACAGCTGTGAAATTTTCTGAAGATAAAACTCGGGGGTTTCAGAAGCAAACAAGTATATGCCACAAGTCTACCTAATTGCCGAAGGAATTCCCCCAGGAAGAGTTGTTCAAATAATGGAACAGGTGGTAATTTATGGAGTGTTAGGTCTATCACTGTGTCACTCAGCGAATTTACTGAATGTTGTTCCAGTTTGTTCTTACAACGTGTAGTCTCTCATTGCGATGCAACATAATTTGTGGGGATTAGGTCTATCAAGCACTGTGTCTCTTAGAGAATTTATTGAATTTATTGAATGCTTCAGCAAACACTAGCGACTGACAGGAGCTGACGTTTTCAGCTGCAGCTATTGGGAATATAGCTATTAGTAGCTCATAATGAGCTCTTTCGTCACTGTACTTTTAGTGAACTATATACTGAGCATAATGTAGTGTGGGTGCAGAGGTTTCTTGAGGTTTTAGGCCCAGGTCGGCGTGGTCACAGCCAATGTTGCATTATAATCGGTTGCCTCTTATTTTCCCTTGTTGGTTGGCAGCAGTGTAGAGAGGTACCTGCTTGCTCAACTTCTATTTCTTCTCTGTGTTACGCAAGACACACCTAACCCTGGATACGTAGAATTCACCAAATTCACCACACATTTGATTGGTGTCTTCCTCTATGGCTGCCTTCAGGGCTTTCTGAATCCATGCCTAGCAGTTTGTTTTTTCACAGCATCCTCCTCAAATAGCATATTCGAAGACTTGATGCGCCTGCTGACTGCCTACCTTAGTCATTTTGCAAACAACCGCGAATGAGTTGCTTCGGTACCTTCATTTCGTTTCAACATTCGTGCGCAATATGCCTCTATTAGTGCTCTATAGTTACATTAAGTCTGCATCGCCTTGAAAGCGCGTGAGTCCCTTCGGTTTCACTCTACGTGCGCTTTGTCAATAACAGTGCTTTCGGTTTCTGTGCATCTACCAGACTGATATAAGTGATTTCTTTTTTGAACTAAATCTTTTGTACCACATTTTTTTTCACTAAGTACAGTATTTGTCTACAGAAGACATTTTTATAATGTGGTAGTTTTCCATTGATGGATAATTTTATTCGCATTAAAAGCAGCAATATTTATGAAAGCCTATTTACAGTAAAAATTCAGTCACAAATATGGGAATTGGTATATGAGCACGGTGGTACCATTAATCTTCGCAGTGGGTCTTTTCAAATAATCCTGAATATTACCATAAATATCATTCATATTTGAAATATACGCTGCAGACGCAGATGGAATGTAGCGTTTGAGTTTTATAATTAACTGCAAAAATAAATTTCTATATGGTTAAGATACCCTTTACTTCGTTAACTATGCTTTTACTGCTTAAAAATGCCTTTTTATTATAAAGGTAAATAACATATAAACACCTTGGGCATTAAAGGGCATTCGAGATTAGTTTTAGCGAAACCAGCGTCTAAATTATATAGAATACCTATTACTTTGTTTTGGAGAATTTTCTGCAGAATACTGATTTTACTATATTTGCAAATCATTTAACGTTTACAGGACGCATTCCAAACCGAACAATAAACTCCTAAAATTAAAAGAATATATATATCATGTTCCATGAAACGACAAAAATAATGCTGCAAATACTTACATGAATATTTTATTGATTATGTAAATAAAATTCTAAGCGTAAAAATATGTCAAAAGGTATAGGTATAACTTAAACTATTTTGGGTATTTTGTTTAAAATTGAAATATGCAATATTTTAAGCACTATACTTCATAATAAGCTAGTTTAGACTTAATTTATTGCTTCGGATTACGCAATATATCTCTTCGAGAAGGTGTTAAATAACATTTCTTCGTTTCAAAATCATATTACTCTTAAAAATACGCTAACCCAAAGCAAATGTTTTAAACATAACGAAAGGGTGAATAGATCCGTGTAGACATTATGATAAGACTTAAAATTTGTAAATGTAACAACAATTTATTTTATTTTATTTTTGGAGTAATCATTGTTTAGTTCATAGATTGGGACATTTGAAAAGGCTGATAATTCAAATTTACCAAATACATTTTAATTCTAAACGACGGACCGAATCTCAAATAACGAAGATATCTGAGATTACAGTAGTTAGAAGCAAACGATGAATGAGTAATATTTTGAAATTCTTTTCAGCTAAAGTTAAAGTATGTTAAGGAAATTACTTCTTACATTTTATTTATTGTTATATCGAATCTATATGTCATCCTAGTTTCGTAGTTATGAAAGCAAATACCAGGAAATACTTTTAATTTGCGCTTAATTTAAAATTCTTCGTGGCCTTCTTAATTAAACGTTTTCTGCTTAGTATAGCATAGTGTTGGAATTTCGAAGATATTTTAATAAACTACCCAATATAAGACTTAAGATAAAGTTTTTAACATTTTACTAGAAAATACTAATATGCAGGGATCTGTGTAGAGAAAATGAATGTTACAACGCATGAGATAATAAACAATCTTATTTATGTTTGGTTTATTACAAAGTGCTAACTACTTAAATTTTAAAGGGTATTTGGCATTTGATATAAAATGAAGAAATGAATAAATGAGTTTACGTAATCCGTAATAACTGAAATAGGAATAAAAGCTTTAATATGAACTTAAATTGAAAGTGCTAGATTATTGCATGCTTATTTTTTCTTCTTTAAAAGCCATTTAAAGTCGCTGGATTTTCCCCGCAAAAATATGAAGTATAAAAGCGTGTTTATAAGTCATCAAGTTGAATATATAGTTTTGACAGCTGTACGAAAACGCAAAGAGTGTAAGTTTTCAGCTTGAAAAATTAGTTACATTTGGGATTTTATGCATTATCCTCACCTTGCTTAGAAAATATCAAATAAAAATGCAAAGGTTGATTTACATTTTTAGATCACTATCTAATTATTTATTGGTATCCTTCGATATTATATTTCACTGTAAAATGATTAAATAAAATAAATTTCTCTTGCAGATTTTGAATGTATGCAAATTCTAAGTATAATTACTACTAACGTTAGTTAAA